TGTGTATTAATTCTTGATATAAATCAATAAGAATTAAAAAGTTGAAAAAAGTCTGTGTAATTGTATTCAACCCCCCCTTCTACAATTCCTTTCTGTTTATTGCCTTACCCTTCGGGACTAACAATATATTAGTAGTAATATAGTACATCTAATGTTAATTCCCTATTTTTACAGGTTTTTGATATTTTTGAGCCCAGTCCTACGGCAGTCCTATAGGACCAGGAGTGGCAAGGTCCTATAGTACCTGTCCGAGAGCTGAAATTCTGCTTGGACCGTGGAGAAATGGGCTGATCCATAGAGGAGGCGTGGTCAACAACCTTGGGCCCGGTCAAAACCCAGTTTTGAAGAAGCTTTTGTCTTATTAGTTGGCACCCACTGTGTGATCTTCCTTAGCCTATATAAAGAAGGCTTAAGGCTTGTTTTAACAACACTTTTCATGCTTTCTACCATTTTAATCTTTATGATCTTTGTGTTAGTCATTCTCTAGAATATTGCTTTCGGTTCCAAGCTTTCGGTTTTCTTTGTTTGTCTTTTCAAGAACCAACTTTTGTAGTTGTGATTTCATTCTCAAGTTTTAATTTAAGTACTCGTATTTAATCTTCATCTCATTTCTGTTCCAAGTTCCGTTATGTTTTCTTATCTTTTACGAGTTACGAATTAGTCGATCGTTGTTGCTTTACATCGGATCTCATCCTTTGTGGCTCACGACTAATTTACGTAGGCTAAATAATCTGTTTTTACGAGTTTGCAAGTAACCTTTCGGTCTTTGTAACGAAACTTGTTTTGCAAGTTTCGTTACTTGACTTGCAAGTTTCGTTACTTGACTTGCAAGTTTTCTTCAAAAGTCAAACCCAATTTCCAAGGTTTTCATATGTCATTTCTTCATCCCATCAAAGTACTACTTGTCATACATCAAGTACTACTTGTCATATATCAAGTACTACTTGTCATACATCAAGTATTTTCTTTCATCATTATTAGATTAATATAATTAATATTATTTAGTTATTAATAATTTATATTTCAGTCATTTACATTTCAGTATTTATATTTCAATATTTACATTTCAGTCTTTATATTTCAGTCCTTTATATTTCAGTATTTATATTTCAGTCATTTATATTTCAAGTCATTTATATTTCAGTCATTTACATTTCAGTTTTTACTTTACTGCAATTTACATTTCTGTCATTTAATTTTCAGTACTTTACTTTCAGTCATTTAATTTCCAGTACTTTAAATTCCAGTATTTCCATTTCCTGTAATTTACTTTCTGCAATTTACTTTTCCGTATCAGTTATTTATTTTTCAGTCCTTACATCCTTCGAGAGAAGAAACCGAGCGATGATGGGCTAACGCCTTAGCTTGGGGTGTAACGGGAAATTAAGACCAAAGCCGATGTGAAAGTACAAAGGTGTCTTATTAGCATTATAGTCTACTATTTATTTCAGGTGCTTAATATTTCATTTGATGATTACATTAAAATTAATTGACAACTAATTTTGTGTATAAAAATGTATTGACTTTCAAAACTTGAGGTAATAGGAGAAGGCTATAAATAGCTTTAGTGTCTGACAAACGCTATACTCCTACGGTGTGGGATGGTAACACTGTGTTGTGCTAGGATTCACGACGTCTAACATAAATGATATCATATCGATAGCACGTTGACCGGTGTGTGCTCTTGGGAGGCCGTCTGACCCGATAGTTGATACTGTCATAGTAATATAAAATCATTTATTGATTTTAGATAATTATGACAGGAATGCTATGTCACCTTTTTACTGAATCATTTGTTTAATGTCTTAATCAACTGTTGCACCCTGTGCTTCTTTTTAAGATTGATATTTTTCTTAGTTGTTAATCAAACCTCCCTATTTTAGATAAATCAAATCCCTCGATTCGCCATCTGAAACTAGTTTTTATAAACTGGACTTTTGAAAGAACTTTACAAGCTATCTCTGTGGGAACGATATCTGGTACTTTACCATTATTACTTGTTACGAGATGACAGTAGTTCGAGGTGTATACTTGCGTCGAGTTCTATTTTTATATTGAATTCTAAGGTTGAATAAACCGACGGGCAAAGCCCCAAAAGAAGGTATTATCCACCCAAAAGTTTCAAAATAACGGGAGTTACCTAACGCATTAACACCCTAATTAATATCCCTATTATCATCACCCAAGCTCCTACCGCCCAAAACAAGTACGCGTACAATATCCGAATTGCCCTCCTAGTCTCGAAAACGACCTCCATAATCCCCGTAGTAAGATCATCCTGTGTGAGCAAGACTATAAAAATGCCGTCTAAGGACTGTTGGATGTCATCAAGTGTATGACGGTGGGACTGTAACTGACTGCTCAAGCCTGAGACCCAAAAGTTCTCCATTGCAGTCATGCCCCGAGGCTGTGGCACGGGAACTCCAATTGATGGGGGAGGAGGGGTCTTGCTCCGCGATCGGGACTGCGATCCTGCTGGCTCGCTCAGAGGCTCGGAGAGAAATGCGATAGTCACCCTCCTGGGAGGGAGAACACGCTTTCGGGCGGTTCTCATGATCCTAGGTCCTCGCGATGGATCAGCAACATCGACCGGAGGTGGCGTAGGTACAGATGATTCAACAGAAGTCTCTCGGGTGGCCGCGTCACTTTCCTCGGATGGGTCACTCTCCTCACGGACGGGTTGGTTTCTCCTAGGGAGGCTGGTAAAGTAACCGGATTCGTCAGGGGAGTGCTCAGGGAGTGAGGATGAGTGAGACATTTTTAAACTGTGACAGTAACAAATTTAATTACTAACTGTACTTAAGTAAATAATAATTCATAAAATGAAAATACTCATGCAACTCATAATTATGCTTTTCCTTTGGGCAATAAATTTTTATTTTAGCCGACTTCCAATATAATTGTTCCTTGTCCCTCCTTAAACATATGAAATTAGACATAGGTGATCAGACTTTGTCTAATTATAATATGCTAAGTCAACACTTAGTCCAATTATTCCAGTAGTAAGCCTTTTTTTTTAAATTAAATTAGTTTAGAAAATATATATATTTTTTTAAAATCATTTGGTTATAGTATTTGGTTTTAATAGAAAACCGGTGTTCTCTATAACCTATGGCTCTGATACCAAGTCTGTCACATCCCGCTAAAGCGGAAACACGAGGAGTGATAGTTCAAGATTTCACTGCGATAGGGTGAAAACAACACCAATTGTCCATTCAAATACATAACATATAAAGTCTGAAATTACATCATACAAGTTCAAAGTTTTTAACAACATGGTGTAAGCAAAGTTTTCAACAAAAGATTTCAAATATAAATATGGTTGATGTCGTTGCGCCCCGAACATAAACGTTATCAGTTAACCTTTCTTACCCCTGAAAAGCATAATAAAACAAGGTCAACTACAAAGAGCTGGTGAGTTCACAGGTTTTCAATGTTACAAACCTCCTTTTGCATAAGTGAATATGAGCAAATTAAATTTTTAATGACACTTAATTTACTTTGAAAGAAAATCCTGGATTGTTCAAGGCAATTTGTACTCTAATTTTAAGTCTATAAAGAGCCAC